TGTTTATTCTAGAGACTTTCCATTTCCTTTACACTTTATAGTCATCTTGCCAGTTTCAACAGAAAAGTCTTCTGGGATTTTGATAAGGATTGTATTGTCCTACATATGTCAATTTGGGGAGAATTGACATCTTAATACTGAATCATCTGATACATTTTCTCTCTCTCTCTTTCTTTCTTTCTCTTTCTTCATCAGTCTGGCTGGAGATCTCTCAATTTTACTGATTTGTTTTCAAAGAACTAGTTTTTGGTTTTATCAATTTTCTATATTTTTGTTGATTTGGTTTCATTGATTTCTGCTTTTAGCTGTATTTTTTTTTCTTCCTTCTGCTTACTTTGGGTTTAATTTGTTTTTCTTTTTCTAATCTCTTAATGAGGAAGCTTAAATCATTTATGTGAGATTTTTCTTTTTTTCTAATTTAGCAGTGTTTGTCAACATCAGTGCTCACATTTGGGGCTAGACAATTCTTTGTTGTGGTGGCGATCCTATGTATTATATGTCTAGCAGGATTTCTGGCCTGTAGCCACTAGATATCAGTGACACCCCTCCCCAGTTGTGACAACCCAAAGTGTCTTCGGACAGTGTCAAATGTCTTGGGGTTAGGAGGATTGTTCTTGGTTGAGAACCACTGCTATATTAGGCACTTAATATTATAAACTTCAGCTGTGTCCCACAAATTTTGACACTTTTTTGTTTAGCTAAACAGTATTGTTTAAGTTTCCTTTGTGATTTCCTCTTTGACCCACACATTATTACTTTATTGTTTTAAAATTTTTATTGGGTTTTTTTTTTTTAAGAGACAGAGTCTTGCTATGTTGCCCAGATTGGCCTTGAATTCCTGGGCTCAGGTGATCCTCTCACCTCAGCCTCCAGAGTAGCTGGGACTACAGCTTTGCACCACCATGCCCTGCTGACCCATTATCATTTTGAAGTGTATTTTTTAGTTTCCAAATATTTGGGGATTTTCCAGAAATATTTCTTTTATTGATTTCTAATTTAATTCTTTTATGGTCAGAGAACATGCTTTGTATGGTTTCAATTTTTAAAAATTTGTTGAAATTTTGTTGTGTTTTATGGTCCTGGATATGGTCTATTTTGGGGAATGTTAAGTGTGCACTTGAGAATAATATATATCCTGGTGTTCTTGGGTGAAGTTGTCTATAAATGTTAATTGGTTCAAATGAGTTGATAGTGTTGTTCAAGTCTTTTATATTCCTATCCATTTTCTCTCTACCATCTTCATCAATTACTGAGAAGGGAATCTCCAACCATAATTGTGGATTTGTCTATTCCTCCTTTTGGGTCTGCTTTTTGCTTTATGTATTTTGAAACTGTTGCCAACACCTACACGTTTAGGATAGTTATGCCTTCTTGATAAATTGATACTTTTGTCTTTATATATCATCCCTCTGCATCCTAGTATTGTTTCTTGTTTTAAAATCTACTTTGTCTCATAGTAATATAACTACTCCAGCTTTCTTTTGGTTAGTGTTTGCATGGTATATGTTTTTCCATATTTTAACTTTTAACTATCTGTGTCTTTATATTAATACTTAACATGGGTTTCTTATAGACAGCAGTTGGTTCTTGCTTTTGTTATCCAATACGACAATACCTGTCTTTTAATTAGGTATTTAGAAACCATTTACATTTATTATAATTGTTGATATAGATGAGTTTGTCTATCATCTTGCTATTTCTTTTTATTTATCCCTTTTGCTTATTCTTTTTTCCTCTTTTCCTGCCTTCTTTGGGCTTCAGTATCTTCTGACCCCATTTGACCTTCATTGTTGTTATTTTCATATATTTAATTCTACATGTGCTACAAACCCCACAATGTACTGTTATGTTTGCTTTAAACAATTATCATTTAAAGAGATTGAAAAATGGAAAAAATGTTTTTTCTAATTTGCCTATATGTTTATAGTTTCTGGTGCTCTTTTTTTGTTTTTGGAGACAGAGTTTCGCTCTGTTGCCCGGGCTAGAGTGCCATGGCATCAGCCTTGCTCACAGCAATCTCAAACTCCTGGGCTTAAGCAATCCTTCTGCCTCAGCCTCCCGAGTAGCTGGGACTATGGGCATGCGCCACCATGCCCGGCTAATTTTTCTATATATTTTTAGTTTTCCGGCTAATTTCTTTCTATTTTTAGTAGAGACAGGGTCTCACTCTTCCTCAGGCTTGTCTTGAACTCCTGACATCGAGTGATCCTCCCACCTCGGCCTCCCAGAGTGCTAGGATGACAGGCCTGAGCCACCTTGCCCAGCCTCTGGTGCTCTTTTGTGTAGATCCAAATTTCCATCATTTTCCTTTTGCCTGAACAACTTTATTTAACATTTCTTGTAGTGTAGATCTGCTAGTGAAGAATTCTTATAGTTTTTGTTTGTCTAAAAAGTCTTTATTTTGTCCTCATTTTTAAGGGATGGGGAAGTAAAGTTGGGGTCTCAGTTCCTCTCCCCTGCTCCTCGCTGAGCAGAGTTCCTGTAGGTTTCTGCCTTGTGGGAGCTAGAGGTGAGTTAAGAAGTGTGTGAGAAGCCCAGGGCTCCACTCCCACTCCACTTGGAACCTTTAGTGGCTTCTTGGAGAATCTGGTTGGGCAGTTCCAACTCTTTTGATCTCTGTGTGTCCTAGAGAATGTAAGGTGGGAAATCTATGTGGATTTGCAAATGGGAGAGAGTGTGAGAAAAAGAAAAATGTGGGGTTGTGGGTGGGAGGGTGTGTTCAGGAAACAATGGTGACCTCTCTTGTCTCTGTTCTCCCAACAGTTCTGGGACTGTGGAGAATGCAACCATTCTCTACTCCTTTTGTAGTTTGGAAGTTCTTCCTGAAGTCTAATTGTAGATCATACTGTCATTGTCTAGAGTTGGAGGATGGATATAATTTCACGACTATGATACAACATGCAGAGAACTGGAAACCAATTAGTTGGGTCCACCCCACGGGAACCTCAGGCCTCCTTCATTTGACTACCACCAGCAACCTCACTTTAACATATGAACTATTCTCTCTTAGATGCCAGAGGGGAAACAGAGGCAAGCAGGTGAGAACGTGGCAGCAGTCCCCTAAAGAGCCCATAGTAGCTACTTACCTCTCCCATACCCTGGGGAGGGATCGAGGTGTTAGAGCTTCAGAAAGAAGCTGAGATCTAGCAGGGTTCGACCTTATCAATCCCGGGCCTGATAAGGGCAACATGTGGCACATGTGGGGAGATTAGATTGATCTGCTGGCTCCATCATGGCGAGGGAGGAAGGCACAAGGCAGTGGATCGCGCCGTAGTTAGTAACCCCAACGCTCCCGAAGCACAGTTAAACTTTCATCAGGCTAATGCGGGAACTCCACCCTCCCGGGGCCTTCCGAAAGTGCTCTGTGATGGTGGAATTTGGAGCCCCAGTGGGGGCAGGTCCTGCTTTCCCGCAGGAGACACTCTAGCCCATCCAGTCGCCCGTTTCGCCCTCGAGCTCTCGACGCTCTTTCCCACCACCTGGCGATGTCCGAGGTGCCAGCCAGCGTCCAGACTTGCTCTTCTAGCCGGGCAGGACAGCTTAGCCTGCCATGCAAGGTGGGGTCTGAGCTGGGCTGGAGTCCAGCTCCAGGGCGCGCTGCAGCAGGGCCAGTCTCGACCTGGAGCGCCCTCTGGCGGCGCTGGGCGCGGGCCCGGGACTCCGCGCGCGTCTCCAGACGTGGCCATTGACGGTAAACCCGGCTCGGCTCGGCTCCAAAGCGCCTGCCAGGCGGCGGAGCTCTAAAAGGCCGCATTACTACCTCGCCTCTCTCCAGGTCCCGCATTGCGCCTCAGGCTGACGCCCAGCAGGCGCGAGGCAGTCCTGGGTGGCCGCTAGGACGGGTCTTGTGAGGGTCCAGAGAGAGCCGGGGTGCCGCCAAGGGCGGCCGCATCAGTGTGAACATCTAGTTGCTCGGCCTGGAGTCATATCCGTCTTTCTATTCTGCACGGAGGCGAAAGGCTTCGAAAAACACATGACTTTGTGTATACCTAAAGACTGTGGTGGCATTCAAGGCCAATGATAACCCGTCTGTCCAGACTCAACTGCCCGGGACCCCTGCCTTGGGCCAGAGGTCACTCCTCTGCTTCCTGGTCAATCTACTCCAGGTCTGGGACTAGGGTGAGGCGAGCAAGGAGCCTAGAGCGCACACTTTGAGGAGCACTCACTCTCAGGGTCCTGCAAATGCAGGCCAGCACCGGCTCGACCCTGAGAGTGAGTCTCCTCCCTGCCCCGTTCCCCATCTTGCCTTCACTCTAAACCTTAGACTCCCAGAGGGCAGAGACCAAGTCTTTTATTCCCTGGGGACCTGGGCGCTGCAGGTTTCACAGCTGGAGTTCAACAGACATTTGTCAGTGGCCAAGCCTCTTTCTTTTCTGTACGAAAAACGGCCTAGGCTGTCAGCCAGGCGTGGTGGTGCGCGCCTGTAGGCCCAGTTGCTCGGGAGGCTTAGGCAGAGGCTTGAACCCAGGAGGTCGAGGCTGCAGTGCGCTATGATCGCGCCTGTGAATAGCCACTGCAGGCCAGCCTGGGCGACACAGCAAGACCCCCCTCTCTTAAAAAAAAAAAAAAAAAAAAGAAAGAAAGAAATCTAGTCTGGGAAGGACAGGTTTCTGCGTGCCACGTGATCCAGCCGAGTCTGGACTTCTCATTTAACAGAGGTAAGCAGATGTCCATGCAAGATTCAGAAAGCCTGACGAGCTGGAAAGTGATGGACGTGTAGTCCCACACATTCTTTTTCACGCGGGGCAACAGACATGGAGAGTGGCGATGACCTGCCCTAAGTCACACAGTCGCGTAAGAAATGGGACAAGGTTACGTAACAAGTTGTAAGACGACAAGACTAATTCAGGGAAAACCTGGGACGCAGCTGATGCTCATCGAGTGTATCGATGCTCCACTTACGAGGCCTGGGACCGTGAGCAGGCTCAATCAATTGCTTTTGACTTCCAGTAAGTGCTGAGCGCTGATTGGTCCTGGTTTAGGAAACGGAAATAGGGCGTGCACACGAGGCCCCCGGCGAGAGGGGCTTGCAGCTGGTTGGGAATTATCGTGCGCGAGACCATGGCTTCGCTCAATTGTAGCACGGTGGTTTGCGTAATCTGCTTGGAGAAGCCCAAATACCGCTGCCCTGCCTGCCGCGTGCCCTAGTGAGCGGGGAAGTTGTGGAGGCTGGGGGAGCGCGAGTATCCGGCCGGGGCGGGAGGAGTGGCGGGGAGCTGGAGGGGTACGGGAGGGTCCGCGCGGCCTTCGGGGCTGACGCTGCCTGTGGTCTCTGTTACAGCTGCTCAGTGACCTGCTTCCGGAGCCACAAAGGTAAGGCCCCGGCTTCCCCGCCTCAGCTTAGTCCCTTTCTAGCTTGAGACAGCCTCCACGCCCCGCCACTGTCTCTGGAGTGTGGACCCCTGAGGCTGTGCATCCTCCGGGCTTTCCCGCGCCTGAATTGTCTCAGCCCCTCGGCCCTCCCGGTCTTTCCTGCCGCTCGTTCTGCGGGAGCCTTGCTTCCTCAGGCTTGGTCCCTGGTGTCCCACACGTCTCCCTGTGTGCGCGACTTTTGCCTGTAATTGCCTCTCCGAATTTTGAACAAAGACCTTTCTCATCTACTCTTCCTTTTCTTCTGCGTGCCCCACTCTTTTTTGAAAACAGTCGACTGGTCTGGTTGCGGTGACTCACGCCTGTGATCTCAGCATTTTGGGACGCTAACGCGGGAAGGTTGCTTGAGGCCAGGAGTTCGAGACCAGCCTGAGCAACCTAGCCAGACGCTACAAAAAAAAAAAAAAATAGAAAAATTAACCGGACATGGTGGTGCGCGCCTGTAGTCTCAGTTATTCGGGAGCTGAGGCAGGAGGATCGCTTGAGGCCAGGAGTTGGAGGTTGCAGAGAGCTATGATTGCGCCACTGCACTCTAGCCAGGGCAATAGAGCCGAGACTCTGTCTCAAAAAAAAAAAAGTCTACTGTTTTCCCCACAAAAATCTACCTCAATTGTTAATTCCTCTTCTGGCATAGCCCCTCATCATTTGGCAGAAACTGCACTGGTTAAGGTTAACAAGAGCACTTTCTTGTTAAAAACAGTGAGGTAGCTCTTTATGAGAGAAATCCTTGACGTATTAAGAGAAAAAATGAGCAAGTTCCGTATAAGAAGTGATGTTTACAAATATATGTACATCAACAAATACATGGGTACATGTGCACTTTCAAATCTTTAAGTACTGTATCTTTAAGTTGTGTAATTATGAAACGTGCCTGTAGAATATTCAGTTACCTTTCTCTGCTTCTTTATAGTTGGATGATTTTCTATTTTTAACATTAATTACATATGTTTTCTGAGGGTAAAATACATTTCTGCATCTTTTAGAAAGTCCAAACTACCACTGTTCTTCTATAAGATCAACTTATTTAGCTTCTACATATGAGTGAGAACATTTTTCTGTGAGTTTCACTGAAATGATATCTCGTGGTTTTGATTTGCATTTCCCTGATGATTGGTGATGTTGAGCATTTTTTCCTATACATTTTGGCATTTGTATGTCTTCTTTTGAGAATTGTCTGTTCAGATCATTTGCCCATTTTTTAATTGGATTTTTTTTGGCTGTTAATTTGAGATCTTTGTGTATTCTTGGAATTAATCCCTTGTCAGATGAATTTGTTTGCAGGTATTTTCTCCCTTTTTGCAGGTTGTCTCTTCACAGTGTTGATTGTTTCCTTTGCTGTGCAGAAGCTTTTTTTTAGTTTGATGTAATCCTATTTTTGCTTTGGTTGCCTGTGCTTTTGAGATTTTATTCATAAAATTTTTGCCCAATGTCCTGAAGTGTTTCCCCTGTGTATTCTTCTAGTAGTTTCATAGTTTCAGGTCTTACATTTATATCTTTAATCCATTTTGAGTTGACTTTTATATATGGTGAGAGATAGGGGTCTAGTTTGCTTCTTCTGCATATGGATATCCTGTTTTCCCAGCACCATTTATTGAAGTCTCTTCTTTCCCCAATATATGTTCTTGCACCTCTGTTGAAAATCAGTTGGCTGTAAATATGTGGACTTATTTTTGGGTTCTCTATTGTGTTCCACGGGTCTGTGTGTCTGGTTTTATGCCAGGACTACGCTGTTTTTATGGCTACTATAGCTTTGTAGTACACTTTGAGGTCAAGTAGTGTGAAGCCTCCAGCTTTATTCTCTTTGCTTAGGATTGCATTGGCTATTCAGGATCTTTTGTGATTCCATGTGAATTTTAGGATTGCTTTTTCTATTTCTGTGAAGAATGTCATTGGTGTATTTTGATAGGGATTGCATTGAATCTGTAGGTCGTTTTGGGTAGTGTGGTCATTTTAATATTCTTCTTATGGTGGGTATTTTAGTTGTTTTGCTTCTATTGCTGCTACAGGCAGTGTCACAGTGGTATTTAATAAAGAATTATTTTTATCAGGAATTTCTAATAGCCACACCTGATACTTTTCATTTGTCATCTTTCTTGATTCCTATGAATGTCTACTGTGCTTAACTTTCCTTTCTTGATATTCTCCTCTGTTGATTGGGGAGATACTGCTGTCTGGGATGCTGTCCTTCCTTTCTCCTGTCCGAGTACTAACCAGGCCCAACCTTTAGCTTCTGAGGTCAGACAAGATTGGGGGTGTTCAGGGTGGTATGACCAAAGACTCTCTTCCCTTTCTGAATTTTGTTTCACAGAGTCTTTTGATGGATTCTCTCCCTTTGCCTGCCTACTAAACTTGTTCTTGGGATGCTGTCCTTGACCTTATTCCTGGGTGATCTCTTTCACATCTTTTTAACTCTTTTCTTTTTTTTTTCTTTTTTAGCTGACACCCAAATCTATAGCTCTGACATCTTTTTGAGCCCCTAGAAACAAATGTTTCTGTTTTGTGGTGAGGTACAACTAATCCTGAAAATCCACCTCTCCTTCAGTCCCTTCTGCTATATTCTTTACATGTATAGCACAGCCTTAGAGTTAGACCTTGATTCAGATTCTGCCTCTGCCACTTCCTAGTTGTGGACCCTGGATGGGTTTCTTTATTACAAGAATACTTAATCTTTTCTGCTTTCACCTGTAAGTGGAGGTAAGAGTCTCTATGTCATGGGGGCTTTGGAAGGGTTTATTGAGATTATATATAATCTCACTGTGTACCTGGCACGGTTCTTGGCACTTAGTGAGTGGTTAGTCACTGGCAACTGTCATAACCATGCCCTGCCTCATTAGACCTTTTTTCTTTTTCACAGCATATTGTCAAGTCTACATTATAAATATTTCTCTAATCTGGCCTCTCTTCTCTGTCCTTGGAACCCTTTCCCCTGACTATATGCTGTATTGACCCTTAGAAGTTCGTCTTTGGTTGCTTTGCCTCTAATATCATCGCCTCCAGTCTCTGGTTTACAGCAGTAGGTTTTACCCCACCCCCACCCCCAACACACACACACCCTGTTCCTAATATCTGTGGGGCATTTTCTAAAGAAACCTTATAGGTCAAGATGGGAGATGGGAGAGAAGTGGAGCTGCTTTGCTGGAAGCAGTATTGGGAGTCTGTGGTTCTGAGTACTTCCCTTTTACCCTGCAGCCCTGTTGGGTTCCTCTAACCGCTAGAGCAATCATGAACGCATTACCCTGTGCCCCTGCTACTGCCAGGGTGATTTTCTTGGAAAAGCACATTTGAGCAATTCACTCCCTTATTGAAAACTGTATGGCTGTCAGGATGGAGGACAGTGTTCTTAACCTGGGTATTGCTGTTGCTAGGGAGACAGATTGCCACCATGTGTTTGTTCTTAGAGTAACTGAGGAGAGCCTGGCTGTACAGGCATGCCTTGGAAATACTGCGGGACCACTGCAATAAAGCGAATATTGCAATAAAACTAGTCACATGAATTTTTTGGTTTCCCAGTGCATATAAAAGTTATTTTTACACTATGCTGTAGCCTATTAAGTGTGGTAGTATTATGTCTTAAAAAAAAAGTACTTACATAAAAAATACTTTATCTCTTTAAAAATGCCATCATCTGAGCCTTCAGCAAGTTGTGATCTTTTTGCTGGTAGAGGGTCTTGCCTGATGGCTGACCCTTTGATGGCTGCTGACTGGTCAGCGTGGCAGTGCTGAGGGTTGGGTGGCTGTGGTGATTTCTTTTTTTTTTTTTTGAGACAGAGTCTCACTCTTTTGCCCGGGCTAGAGTGAGTGCCGTGGCGTCAGCCTAGCTCATAGCAACCTCACACTCCTGGGCTCAAGCGATCCTTCTGCCTCAGCCTCCCGAGTAGCTGGGACTACAGGCATGCGCCACCATGCCCGGCTAATTTTTTCTGTATATTTTTAGTTGTTTGATTAATTTCTTTCTATTATTTTAGTAGAGACGGGGTCTCGCTCTTGCTCAGGCTGGTTTCGAACTCCTGAGCTCAAATAATCCACCCGCCTCGGCCTCCCAGAGAGCTAGAATTACAGGCGTGAGCCACCACGCCCGGCCTTGTGGTGATTTCTTAAAACAAGACAGCAGTGAAGTTTGTGGCATCAATTGACTCTTTCTTTCATGAAAGGTTTCTCTGTAGCATGCAATGCTGTTTGGTAGCGTTTTACCCACAGTAGAACTGCTTTTAAAATTGGAGTAAATCCTTTCAAACCATGCTGATGCTTTATCAACTAAGTTTATGTATTAATAATATTCTAAATCCTTTGTTTTCATTTCAGTAATGTTCACAGCATCTTCACCAGAAGTAGATTCCGTCTCAGGAAACCACTTTTTGCCTGGGTGTGGTGGCTCATGCCTGTAATCCTAGCACTTTGGGAGGCCAAGGCTAGGAGTTCGAGACCAGCCTGGTCAATAATGAGACCCTGTCTCCACAAAAAATAAAAAATTAGGCAGGTGTGGTGGTACATACCTGTAGTCCCAGCTAACTCACTCAGGAGGCTGAGGCAAGACGACTGCTTTAGCCCAGGAGTTGGAGGCTGCAGTGAGCTATGGTGATGCTACTGCACTCTAGCCTTGGCAACAGAGTGAGACCCTGTCTCAAAAACAAAAACAAAAACAAAAAAAAAAACAACTCCTATTTCTAGTTCTCTTATTATTTCCACCACATCTGCAGTTACTGAAGTCTTCAACCCCTCAAAGTCATCCTTGAGGGCTGGAATCGTCTTTCAGATGATTGTTAATGTTGATATTTTGGCCTCCTCTCATGAATCATGACTGTTCTTTATGGCCTCTGGAATGGTGAATCCTTTGCAGAAGGTTTTGATTTACTTTATCCACATCCATCAGAGGAATCACTATGTATGACAGCTATAGCCTTATGAAATGTATTTCTTAAATAATAAGACTTAAAAGTTAAAATGACTCCTTTTTTTTTTCTTATTTTAAAGAGATGGGGTCTTGCTCTGTTGCCCAGGCTGGAGTGCAGTGGCATGATCATAAATCTGGGCTCAAGCAATCTTTCCACCTCAGCCTTCCGAGTAGCTGGGATTACAGGTGAACACCACCACACCCAACTACTTTTTGAAAATTGTTTGTAGAGATGGGGTCTTGCTGTGTTGCTCAGGCTAGTCTTGAACTCCTGGCCTCAAGTGATTCTCCCACCTTGGCCCCCAGTGTGCTGGAATTATAGGCATGAACCACTGTACCCAGCCTGAAATTACTCCGTGATCCATGGGCTGCAGAATATGTTTTGTTAGTAGGCATGAAAACAACATTAATCTTGTACATCTGTATTAGAGGTCTTGGGGGACTAGGTGCATTGTCAGTGAGCAGTAGTATTTTGAAGGGAATCTTTTTTCTGAGCAGTAGATATCAACAGTGGGCTTAAAATATTGAGTAAATCATGCTGCAATATAAACAGATGTGCTGTCATCCAGACTTTGTTCAATTTATAGAGCACAGAGTAGATATGGCATAACTGTTAAGGGCCCTAGGATTTTAGGAATGGTAAATGAGCATTGGCTTCAACTTAAAGTCACCAGGTACATTAGCATCTAACAAGAGAGGCAGCCTATCCTTTGAATCTTAGAAGGCAGACATTGATTTCTCCTTTCTAGTTATGAAAGTCCTGGATGCCATCTTCTTGCAGTAGAGGGCTGTTTTCTCAACATTGAAAATCTCCTTGGTGTAGGCACTTCATCTGTGATCTTAGCTAGATCTTCTGTAACTTGATGCAGCTTCTACATCAGCACTTGCTGTTTCACCTTGCACTTCTGTGTTATGCTAAGATGCCTTCTCTCCTTAAACCTCATGAACCAGCCTCTGCTAGCTTCCAACTTTTCTTCAGCAGTTTCCTCACCTGTCTCAGCCTTCATGTAATTAGAGAGAGGGCCATTCTCTGGATTAGGCTTTGGCTTAAGGGAATGTTGTATCTGGTTTGATCTTCTATCCAGACCACTAAAAGTTTCTCCATTTCATTAATAAGGCTGTTTTGTTTTATCTTTCATGTGTTTATTGGAGTAGCACTTTTAATTTCCTTTAAGAACTTTACCTTTGCATTTGTAACTTGGCTAACTAGCTCAAGAGCCCTAGCTTTTGCCCTATCTTAGCTTTCGACAGGTCTTCCTCACCAAGTGTAACCATTTCTAGCTTTTGATCTAAAAAGAAAGATGTATGACTCTTCCTTTCACTTGAAACACTTAGAGGCCGTTGTAGAGTTATTAACTGGCCTAATGTCAGTACTGTTTTGTCTCAGGTAATAGGGAGGCTTAAGGACAGGGAGAGAGATGAGAAAACAGCTGGTCAGTGGAGCAGTCAGAACACACACATTTGTTAAATTCACCATCTTTTATCGGTGCGATTCATGGTGCTCCAAAACAATTACGATGGTAACATCAGAGGTCCCTGATCACAGATCACTGTAACAGATATAATAATAATGAAAAATTTTGAAATACTGTGAGATTTACCAAAATGTGATACAAAGTGAGCTCATGCTATCAGAAAAATGGTGCTGATAGACTTCCTCGATGCAGTGTTGCCACAAACCTTCAATTTGTAAAAAACGCAGTATCTGTGAGGTGTGATAAAGCACAATAAAACATGGCATGCCTATATTACTGGTAATTGGTGATAGGGCTCAAATATACATTCTATAGTGTGTGAGACAATCTCATACCACTCAGGACTTTCCTGCCCTAAATACCAGTAGTGCCCTTGCTGAGAGACACTGGTCCTGCATTTGGCATTATTCTGCTTTGCATTACTCTTGTGCCCCAGCCACCTGCCAGGCCTGCCCTACAAATCAACTGGTAGTTGTTCACCCCCATCTCTTTGAACCTGACCTTATTCTTTCAAGCGTTGGGTCCAGGCATAGACCTTGCCCTTTGCCAGGAATACATTTCTTTCCATCTGGCAAAGCCGCCTCCCCCTCTAAGAGTCATCTTGGTCTTGTCTCTCAGCCCTCTAAAGTAGACTTAGACCAGACCCTTCTTACCTTATCCGTATCTCTAGCAGTCATCCATAAGCCTAAAGCCCTCTGAGGTAGTGGTGGTGACTTTCATTTGTGCACAGCCAAGAGTCACTTAACAGGGATGTGTTCTGAGAAATGCACTGTTAGGAGATCTTGTCCTGCAGACATCATAGTGTGTTTATACAAACCTAGATGGTATAGTGTCCTATGCCCCCAGGCTATTTGGTATAGCCTACTGCTCATAGGCTACAGACTGTACTGAGTACTGTAGGCAGTTGGAACACAATAGTATTTGTATATGTAAACACAGAAAAGGTGCAGTAAAAGTACAGTCTTATAATTTTATGTGACCACATCACATATGCTGTCCATCATTGACCGAAACATCATTATTTGGCACATGACTGTATTCCCAATGGCACATAGTACGTGCAAATTTGGTATCTGAAACTGCTGAGAAAATCATTTGATGCTCATTGAAGTCAGTGCGCCACTTAATCATGGTCAGAGTCCTATGAGATGAGGCAGGGCAAAGAGGACGGGGACAGGCCCTTGGGGTACATGAACCCTACTTCCTCAGCCCTTCTGCCACTGTCAGGCCACTCATGGTTTTCCTCATACGGCCCCGTTTTGATCTCTCACTTCCTCCACACCCATCTCCACCCACCCACATCCCTTACCCCCACATTTGCTTCCCTAGATGCTGGCTTGGTGGGGAGGTGTGGCCTTGTGGCTGAGACACAGGTGATGGGGGCCTGAGATTGGTGTCTTTTTCAGAGCAGTGCAACCCTGAAACTCGTCCTGTCGAGAGAAAAATAAGATCAGCTGTTCCTGCAAAAACTGTTAAGCCTGTGGAAAACAAAGGTGGGTTGGTCAACTTCCAATAAAGCTTGAAGGGGTTTCAAATAGAGTAAGTCACAATGAAGGAAAAGGGGAGACTGGGCTGGGCAGGGCATCCAGAACGATGGCTTCACTGGGGAGCAAGAGCTTCCTGAGCCTTGATGGCCAGGAGCGGGGGCCAGTGTCATCACAGGTGAGGTGAGGGGGCAGCCCGAGAACATTGTTCAGGAGAAGAAAAATGGGCGGGAGGCAGAGGGAGAAAGGCCATGGCTGAGGCTGGGGGATTGCAGGGGGGCCCTGCTGGCAGGAGCCTTCTCTAGTCACAGCTTTGGGTCTCCCTCTGTGAGTGTGGCTGGGCTGGGCCATCATTTTGCCTGAGCTAGACCCAGGCAGATTTCTTTTTGTCCTAGATCAGCGGTCCCTAACCTTTTTGGCACCAGGGACTGGTTTCATGGAAGACAATTTTTCCATGAACGAGGCAGGGGCTGTGAGGGGTGACAGAGCTAATGCAGTGATGTGAGCAATGGGGAGTGGCTGTACATACAGATGAAGTTTTGCTGGCTTGCCTGCTACTCACCTGCTGTTTGGCCTGGTTCGTAAGTTTCACGAAGACAATTTTTCCACAGATGGTGGGAGCAGGGGTGCGCCCAGGTGGTGATGCGCAGCCTGGTTCCTAACAGGCTGCAGAGTGGTGCTGGGCCTCGGCCCAGGGGTTGGGGACCACAGTCCTGGATCACCTCACTGCTGCTGGGGGCTCCTCAGAGCTTACAGCAGTAGTGGGCTGTCATTCCATCCATCCAAATGTTCTTAATACTTCCTGGGTGTCCTGCAACATGCCAGGCTCTGAAAGCAGCACCTCTAGTGCCACCAAAGGGGTATTGAACATTCACAGCAAAGGGATGACCTATTTCTGTCTTTTGAGAAACTTCCAGGTTGGATTCAGGCAATGCCAACAATTTCTGTCCAAGTGGAAAGGGGGTTCTGTTTGGAAGGTTGTACAGAGCACCCAGTTTATTGACCCATGGCAGGGCTGGAGCCATGGTGAGGGGAGGAGGGGTAATAAGAATTACAAAACCAGGCTTCAAGCCGTAGACCACAGGGAAACATAAACTATGTGAACACTGGGATGTATTTGTTAAAATTTCCAATTCTTCTTTCACTTATCTTCCTTTTCCTAAAAGAGGAATGTTAGTTTAGTCACAAACTCCAGAGGGCAGAGAGGATTTTTGTTTGTCTATACCTGCTTGTATATTCCTAACCACTGTCACATGTGTAACATACTTTTTTTTTTTATCTGTTCATGTAGTTGTTAAAATATGCTGCCCGGGCCTCCTTTTTAGTCATAAGCATTTGATTGTGTTATGTATTCCTTAGATGATGATTCCTCTGTGGCTGATTTTCTCAATAGTGATGAGGAAGAGGACAGAGTTTCTTTGCAGAATTTAAAGAATTTAGGTAAGTCTGTGCTTGTTCATTTCTTTGTTAACCACTGAGATACTTTTACTGTGTTGTGTGGAATGTGTTTTTTAAAAAGTTGTTAAATCCTTCAGTGTGGCATGCAAGACCCTTCCTTTCAACCACATGATGCTGTAAACATACATGGTTTTTCACACCTGCACACAATGCCATTCCCTCTGCCTGGAATCCTGGTTTTGCAGGCTGGCAAAATTCTGTTCCTCCTTTAATGCTTGGTTCAAGGTTTCTTTACTCAGCTAACCTTTTCTTGGCATTTTGTCTCTCTCAGAATTAGGTATTTTTTGGCTTCTCATATGCCTTGAACTTAATAGTAATATACCACTTGCATTTTATGGTAATTTGCTTGACATACCAATTTGGCAGGGACCTGTATTCTCACATCCTCAGTGCTCAGTTTACAGTCCAGCCACTAATGCAGACTGGTAATCATATGGTTTGATTTTTTTAGGGGGAAATGGGTGTTGATAATGCCCAGCATTTTTGTAGTACTGCTTATTCAGTCCTTACAATAGTTCTGTTATATATGTATATAATTAATGGGCTAATGTAGTTCCTAAAGGTGTGCATTATTTTCATTCTTCCTACTTCACAGAATCAGGTGAAAGGTTATGCTTTGTACTTAGTCCCATGGTAATGATTAGTTAGATGGAGGTTGGACCTGAGCTGCTAATAGGTGTGAAAAATTTTATAAAGTGCCATACAGGTGTTAGTTCACTCCTGGTCCCGTTGCATGTTGGATCGCATGCTTAAACATTGTTCAGAGTATTTGGTATAACTGTCCTCACCGAGAACCTTCACGCCTATAAAGAAAGAAAATACACCAGCAACAAAGATAGGAATCTGTTACTGCGTTTAACTTAAATCATTTGATATGCCAGTCTTACCTTGTTTATGTGTGAAGCATTGGGATTAATTTGTGAGTTTAAACATTAGAGGATGCAGCCTGTTCATAGTTTTATGTTTGAAACTTCACTTGCAGCCACCTCCACATGTTCTCACTTGAACTGAGATTGGCCTTTTTTCTTGTTAATTTTTAAGAGGAATCTGCGGCATTACGAAGCTTATTGCTCAATCCACATCTCAGACAGTTGATGGTCAGCCTTGATCAGGGGGACGACAAAGCCAAGCTCATGAGAGCCTACATGCAAGAGCCCTTGTTTGTGGAGTTTGCAGACTGCTGTTTAGGAATTGTCGAACCATCCCAGAATGAGGATTCTTAAGATGGACTATTGTGCTGCTTGCTCAAGCTTGAGGAGCTTGACGCCCAGAGCTTGCCCACTCCTTCTCCCAGGAGACCAGCTGGTGTGGGGGGCCCTAAGCAAGAGAGGTGATTTCCGCAATGCAGACTGGCTGACGTAATGCAGATCTCCACCTCCATCAAGGTAGGCTCACGTTTCAGGCCCACATCACCTTGATTCATCCTCAAGGTGACAAATCCTTTATGGAGAGAAAACTTGACATTCAAATGGTTGTTTTTAAATGTTTTATTCTTGGTACAGTTATGACAGACATCATAAATGATACCAAGTTTCACACCCATGTAAGTTAAAAACTTGATCAGTGTTACTAAATAAAATCAAGATGTGATGATTCTGTTTTATGTTACTTTTTATCATCCTTGGTCCACAATCTAATTGTTTGAAATTATATTAAATAAATCAAGAACTTATTAAATACTAAGGTCTCATTCCTTTAAGGAACTAAATGCAACTGAATTCCAGAGCCAATTTTAGGCTTGGCCCAAAAGTGCTTATAGGGAACCAGGGCCCACTGTGGTGACAGATAACACTTGAGGAGTCACATCCGCTGCTTAGTTTGATCTCTGAAGGTAGTGAAGTGTAAAATTCTCTGTGGCCCTGATTGTTTCTTAATCCTGGCTTGGTAACTATCAACCATGGTACCCTGTCCATGCTTGATGGCAGACCAGAGCCCGAGGCCCACTGGCCACACAGCCCTGGCTCTTAGGCTGGAGCCATCGCTGTTACTCACGTGTGTTTGAAGTCAGTATGCTATGGGCATAGTTTGGCAGCTGTGTGTTCATTAAATGTCTTTGGCAAGGCAGCTGGCGGGAAAAGGCCTTGTGAAAAAACAAAGGCACCAAGGATCACCCAGCCAGGTGACAGTAGAGGGTGAGAAGAGGTCACACATGGATCAGCCTGTGTCTTTCCAGCAGAATCTGATTAAAGCCAATAACACTATAGGGTGAAGGTTCAGGGCAGGTGTCAGCATAGCGCAGTGGAGACTTTCTGTAGTGAAACTTGATCGATCCCTAGGGGAAAGAGAGATGCAGTTTAGCTCCAGCTCTCAGGAGTGCCAGTTCCTAAAGGTACCTCACAGAGCAAATGACAGAAATGCAAGGAGTTGTGGACAAAGAAGTATCAACATGAGGGACTGGGTCAACATTTTTTTCTCCTTATTCTGAAACAGTGGCAAAAGGCCAAGTGTGGTGGCTCATGACTATAGTCCTAGCTACCTGGAGGCCGAGGCAAGAGGATCACTTGAGTCCAGGAGTTGGACGCTGCAGTGAGCTATGATTGTGCCACTGCATTCCACCCTGGGTGACAGAGCGAGACCCTGTCAATCAATCAAAAGCTAATAAAAAATAGTGGCGAAGTCCAAAGCAGTATTAAAACAAAATTTCACATCCATTCAGTGTGAGACAGATGAGGAAACACTGGTTTACTCAGCAGGGTTAGGGATGGATCTTGTCCCAGCCAGTCCTGCTCCCTCTGTGGACTCATAGGCTTTGCCTTCCACAGTGGGGTATGAGGAACGGGAGCTGCCAGGGGGCAGGATGGCCATCCTGTTACACACAACCTACCTGAGGCAGTGCTCGGATGGACGTGACACCAGCCTGGTCTTGTTGTGCTATCTGGGTAGTGTAGCTACGGGGGCTGTCCCTGGGAAGCTGGAGGCAGGCCCAGACCACCAGTTTCCTCTGAAAGCCCTGTATTCCTGTAGCAGCATTGGCCAGGACCAATCCCAGGGGCCAGAGGCGGATTATTGCCCCCAGGAGCCTGGTCTGTACCAGGGGCTGTGGGGAGGAGCTTGAGGAACGGGGAACTTGAGAGAAGTGTTCTTCTACACCATCCAGTTCTTTAGAAGCAAGGAAGGCCATTCTGATCTTAAAATGGAAACCAAAACTATCTTTAATAAAGCATCTTAAGGTAAATTAAAGGCACCTGGCTGCAAATAGGTGGATGCCCTGAACTAAACTGGTTCCATGTGATATAAGTGTGTATACCCAAGGCAACTAACTCTGCTTAGACCTTACATATGCTACTTCAAAATAATAGTCTCATTGAGATGAAACTGGTACGTCAGTTTCAAAGTGTACAATTCCACGGTGCATATATTCCCAGAGTTGCTTCTGCTACCCTTTTCCTTCACAACCACCCTGCAGTGTAGGTGGTGTCTTGCACCTGCCTGGCCTCTCATCGACCCTTATCCCACCTGGGTCTGTCTGGTCCCAAAGTATCCATTGCCCACCCCAACTTCTTGGAGCACACTTACTCTCCACTTCTGCCATGCATGCTTGATGGTTGTGGCAGCTGTGTGCAGCCTCTCGATCTGTTTCCGAGCTAACCAGGAACGAATGGCTAAGAGGTTTGCCCAGAAACAGGAAAGAGATAACAAAATGGTCATTAGAACTACAAGTAACCTGGCTCTGCAGCAACACCAGAATTGCTATAAAAGTTTGAAATAGTAGTTTTTCAGTGACTGGCTACTTTGTGCTATGACATAAAGTAAGGTTCTAAACTCAACATATAAAGGAAAATTGGTTTAAACATTCTTCAAACTGCCTGTACACTTGGAGATGGCCCCACGTTCAAGGAGCAGTGGGGAGCCTGGCCTGGCTGAGGCCGAGCAGTCACCTCCCATCTCAGGTGCAGCCCAGGACAAAACCCAGGGGGAGGGGTCTGGACTGTCTGTACCGCTTAGAATCCTCTTTGTTTTGAAAATCCTCAGTTGAATTTGCTTGCTTGCTTTATGAGTCTGTGATGGGACACTACCATGTAACCAAACACTACCATGTAACCAAACACTGATAAAAGAAATTATTGGATGGTAGGATTTTTCCTTCTCTTTAAATCTAAGTTTATTCTGATTTGTTTTGGTACAGTCATATTTGGAAAAGTGGTTTTCCATTAACTACTACTAATGCATTTAGATTCTATTAATAGAAAATTTAAAACCTTAGAAACATAAAAATCACCTGTTATCTCACCAACCCAAATGGTTTTACAGTATTTCCTTACATAATTTTTTAATCCCTATACCCACAGAAACAACACGCCCTTGACGTGTATTTTGACAAGCAGGTATGAACATATTGAAAGCAGTTTTCCATTAAATTCATAATATTCTTCAAATACTTAGCTGTATCATAGGGATGGTCCATAATTTAGGCGTGACTCCACTGCTGTTAGATATCTGGGTTATTTCTAATACTTTTGTTTTGCAGTAAGACTGTCATCAACATCTTGGTTCATACATCTTTCCCTCTGATGAGATCCTGTTGGCTTTTACCTTCTCCTTAAACTCATCTCAAGCCCTGGAGCCCAGCAGGTGATGATTTGAGTTGTAATAAAGGGAAAAAAATGTTGGCATAAACAGCCATTTAAGTCTGAGAAAGACAAACTTTTAGCCTGTACTACCTACAGAGTACTCTTATTTGTGGTGTGATCTGGTTTCCACGGAACTGGAGAAATGTTATGGGCGAAGTGGACAAGAAATTTGAATATCAGTGTACCACAGGGACATACCATCCACCTCTTCAGGCTGGAACAGTTGGCTTCAATAGATGGGCACTCAATGAGCAATGTTTCAAAGGAAACCACTTTCATGGGCATCTGTGTACAATCACCGACAGGGCTCCCCGCCCCACCTACCTGACTGGATGAGCACAGCAGCTCGCCTCTGCCTCTGTTGCTTTCGGTGCTGGTATCGCCTCCAGCTACCCTGGATGCAGCGGGCACACTGCTCCAGCACCTGGGCACGCCCGTGTTCCAGAATCTCCAGCTGGAACGAAAGGTATCCACTGAGGTCCTCAGGCTCTCCTCCCCCTTCCCTGAGGAGGGCCCAGACCCTGTCCTGTTGAGAACATGCAGCTGGCTCCTGTAATCTCATCCCCAAACCAGCTTACCACAGAGTCTGTCATGAACACCTTGGTCCTGCCACAGTGCACTGGGGCTGGTGTGGCCTCATCTGAGTCACCAGGTGTGGCTGCTGCCTGAGTTAGAGCTGGCAGAGTGTGGAGAATGTCCTGGAGAAGAGGTTGAAGTGTGGCCTCCTTGCTGTGTGGAGACCGTTCTGGGGAAGGGGAGATGGGCCCCATCAGTGCCTGGTCTTCTCTACATGCCTCTGTGGCCTTAACTGGCTTTGGCCTTTCTGCTGTGCCCTGGGGTGTCCAACAGCCTCCATTGCCATGGGTCCCTTTGGACAGGCTGGCAAAGGGTACTTAATGCCTAGAAGAGTGACCCCTTTGAACCTGGAATCTCAGGCTGCTCAGCCAGCAGCAGTTTCTAAGGCCCCAAACATCCTGATGGCCAAACAGGGAAGCCAGGCCACTCCCTCAGCCCCTCACTCCCCACCACGTATGGGAAAAGGGAGAACAAGTCCCAGCCCTGTGAAGGCCCAGTGGGTTCCACTGTCTGCCCTCCCACACTTCTCAGGGCTGACTCCTGCAGAGGGAGGATTTACCTGAGGGCTCTGACCACCTTTAGCTGCCCAGTGCCTCTCTGGAGACAGAGGCTGCCAAAGGAGATGCCGGAGATGAGAAACAGCAGCAAAATCAACCAGGGGCCAGAGGGGCTTTGGGTAAGAGACACAGAACAGAAAAGCAAACCATGGAAGGAGGGGGAAGAAAGGAGAAAGGGTGAAAGGAAGGTGATAAAACTCTGCCCAAGAGGGGAGAAAAACAAAGCAGAACTGTCTCAACAGGGTCTGATGGGCCCCAGGGCATGCTGGGTGGGAGGGGGAGCAGCTGCTGCTTCTCCCTCCACCTGTCCCTGAGCCTCAGCACTCCCCTAGCCTCAGTTACTCCCACATGCTGACAACCCCAAAATCAGGGCCACAGGCCAGACACTTCCTTTGAGATTATAGCTTGCCCCAGTCCCTTGCAGATGCCTCCACTGGATGACTCCAGGGACTTGGAGCTCAGGTCTGCCAGGGTAGGGCTCATCAGCTTCCCCAAACCTCTCTTCCTCTTGTCTTTCCCCACTAGCCAGGCCAAGTTAATTTTCTTCTTTCTTCTCCCTCTACATCTAATCAAGTGCCTATCAAGGCTGACCAGTTTCTGGCTGGGCATGGTGGCTCACGCCTATAATCCCAGCACTCTAGGAGGCCAAGGAGGGTGGACTGCTTGAGGCCAGGAGTTTAAGACCAGCCTCAGCAACATAGCAAGACCTCATCTCTACAAAAAATAAAATAACAACAATAACAAAAAGGCTGACCAGTTCCTTCCAAATGTTTCCTGCCTGTGCCCACATATTTTGCTTCTTTCTTCTTGGGCAACTTCCCAGCCTTACTCCCATGGCCCTCCATGAGGCTCCCAGAGTGGTCTCCAGAAAGCAGGAGGCTGACAGAA